AAGTGTCTTTCATATGACTCATTCCCATGTGGTGAATATGGTAGTAGATTCTCATATTTTATTATACATATTAAAAGTCTATAAAGTAAAGGTTTATAGTGGTTATGTTTGTCTGGAAATTTGCTGATGTAGCTGCATGGGCTATATATAAATCAGCCTATCATCAGAGCCGTGTAGGTGTACTTTTGAAGCAAATAATCACTGACTTTACCCCACTCTGCCATGTTCATTTAAATGAAAGCTTTCTAAAAGGAAAAAAAGCCAGAATTTTGGTGTTTTGCGGCAGTGTGTTTGCAGCAATAATAAAAGTCTCTCTTGACTGTCATAATCACAGCCCAAATGCATTTTGTTTTGGATTCTTAATCCCTTAAAAATAAAGTTATGAATTTAAGATTAGTGTTCCTAATTCAGCTTGGTGCTGTGATACTGAACTATGGGGGAGTTTGACAGGGTGACCTAGAATAGGAGGGAGCTTGGCCAGTTAACCCCTCTGTGTCTTGGTCTACCTTGTAACTCACCGGTTTTATTGGACATTTACAAATATTAACCCCCCATCCTGAGTTCTGTACCTTGAACAGTTTTGTTATCAGACTCAACATAATGCCAAATACATGGGAATCACTTAATAAGCATTATGAATATGTTTTACTGGAAGTTTGTTTAATTTTTTAAAGGTTTATTCATTTGTTTGAGAGGAGCGAGCACGTGCGTGCACAAGCTGGGGGTGTGGCAGGGAGAGAGAGAATCGCAAGCAGACTCTGTATTAAATGCAGAGCCTGATGCAGGGCTCGATCTCATGACCCTGAGATCATGACCTGGGCTGAAATCAACAGTCAGATGCTCATTGCCTGAGCCCCCCAGGCACCTCTGAATGTTGTAGTAGAATTTTAAATCATTCAGCTAAGTTAATGAGAGATTTACTAATCTGTGTACAGTAAAGACAACACTTTTTCCTCCATAAGTCGTTTTTTGTTGTCTGGAATTCATTTTAGTCATTTGCCATTTTATTTTAAAGGCCTTTGTGTGGCCACTAACTTTTCTTCAGCTTAAGCTTATTTTGAGACAACTTTGATTCACGTGCCGTTGCAAGAAATAATGAAGATTTCCCACGTAGGCAGTTTCTCCCACTGATGGCATCTTGTAAAGCCATAGTATGGATCACACCCAGATATCCACCTTGATACAGTCGAATACACAGCAGTTCCAACACCGCAAAGGTCCTTCTTACTGCCTTTACAGCCACACTTTTCCCTCTCTCCCACCTCACCCTTCCTCAGCCCATAGCAACCACTAACTATTCTCCATTTTTATAATATTGTCATTTCAAGAACATTTTTTTTTAAGATTTTATTTATTTATTTATTCATGAGAGACACAGAGAGGCAGAGACACAAGCAGAGGGAGAAGCAGGCTCCATGCAGGGAGCCTGATGAGGGACTTGATCCCATGACTCCAGGATCACGCCCTGGCCCTAAGGCAAGCGCTAAACCGCTGAGGCACCCAGGTATCCCCAGCAAGAACGTTCTTTAATTGGCATCATAGAGCACGTAGTCTTTGGAGCTTGGCTGCTTTCATTCAGCGTAACTGTCTGGAGATCCATCCAGGTGGTTGTATGAATCAGCGGTTCATTCCTTTTTATTGCCAAGTAGTGTTCTGTGGTGTGAGTGCAGCACAGTTCATTTAACTGTTCACCTGCTGAAGAGCATCTGGGTTGTTTCCAGTTTGGGGCTGCTCTGATTACAGCCTCTATAAACATCATGTACAGGCTTCATGTGAACGTGACTTTTCATTCCTCTGGGATAAGTGTCCAGGAGTGTGGTTGCTAGGTCAGATGCTGGTTGCATGCTAGCTTTTAAAGAAACTGCCATACTATTTTCCATAGGAGCTGTACCATTTTACACTCCTACCAGCCATGTACAAGTAGTCAAGTTTCTCTGCATCCTCACCAGCATGTGGTGGTGTCACTATTTTTTAAAAGCCATCCTGGTAATGATATCTAACTGTGGCTTTAATTTCAGTTGCCCTAATAAGATAACATCTTTTCATGTGTTTATTGGTCATCTCTGTATCCTTTTTTGGTGCAACATTTGTTTCTGTCTCTTGGATTGTTTGCTTTTTTGCTGTTGAGTTTTGAGGGTGTAGATATTTTAGATACTAGTGCTTTGTCAGATACATGGTTTTGAAATATGTACTCTTACTCTCTAATTTGTCTTTCAACCTCTCAACAGGGTCTTCCGCACAGCAAAAGATTTAAGTTGTGATAGAGTCTACTTTATCAGTTTTTCCTTTAATGAATCATGCTTTTGGTGTCCAGTGTGAGAACTCTTTGCTTGGCCTTAAATTCCAAAGATTTTCTCCCAAGTCTTTTCTTAAAAGTTTTATAATTTTACATTTTGTATTTGAGTCCATGATCCATTTTGAGTTGATTTTTATATAAGGTAGGAGACTCAGGTCAAGTTTCCTTTTTTCCCTGTAAATATCCAGTTGTTCCAATGCCACATGTTGAAAGGCTCTGTTTCCTTCATTGAATTGCTTTTGCACCTTTGTCAAAAATCAGTTGGGCAAAAAAAAAAAAAAAAAAAAAAAAAAAAAAAATCAGTTGGGCAGAGGTGCTTGGGTGGCTCAGGTGGTTAAGCAGGTGACTTTGGCTCAGTTTATGATTATTTATTTATTTATTTATTTATTTATTTATTTATTTATTTATGATAGTCACACACACAGAGAGAGAGAGAGAGAGGCAGAGACATAGGCAGAGGGAGAAGCAGGCTCCATGCACCGGGAGCCCGATGTGGGATTCGATCCCGGGTCTCCAGGATCGCGCCCTGGGCCAAAGGCAGGCGCCAAACCGCTGCGCCACCCAGGGATCCCCTCAGTTTATGATCTTGAGGTCCTGCGATTGAGCCCCATATCGGGCTCCCTGCTCAGTGAGGAGTCTGCTTCTGCCTCTCCCTCTACCCTACCCCCTGCTTGTGCTCTCTCTGTCTCTCTTTCAAATAAATAAAAATCTTAAAAAAAAAAATCAGGCCTATTTGTGAGGGTCTATTTCTGGATTCTTCATTCTGTTCCATTGGTCTATGTGTCTATCCTGCCAATACCATACAGCCTTGATTACTGTAGCTACATAGTAAGTCCTGAAATTGGATAGACTGTTTGCTCCCTCTTTATTCTTTTTTAAAAACACTGTTTTAATTATTCTAGTTCCCTTGCCTTCCCTTATAAATTTTAGGATAATCTTATATTTCCTAAAAATTTGATTGGTATATATTTTTAAAGATTTTATTTATTGATTCGTGAGAGACACAGAGAAACAAAAACACAGGCAGAGGGAGAGGCAGGCTCCCTGTGGGGATCCTGATGTGGGACTTGATCCCAGGACCCCCAGATCATGCCCTGGGCTGAAGGCAGATGCTCAACCACTGAGCCACCCAGGTGTCCCTGGTTGGGACTTTGATAGGAATTTTGTTAAACTTGTGTATCAATTTGGGGAGAATTGACATCTTTACAATATTTGAATTTTGCAGTTGAGGAACATTTGTATGTCTCCATTTGTTTAGGTCTGCTTTGATTTCTTTCATCCACATTATGTACTTTCCAGTACACAAGTTCTATACATATTTTGTTAGATTTATACCTAGGTATTTTTCTCTTTTGATTACATATACAATTATAAATAACACTGTATTTTTAAATTCAGTGTCCATGTGTTGACGGTATGTAGAGATAGAATTGATTTTTGTATGTTTATCTTGTATCCTGCAACCTTGCCTTATTAGTTTATGAGTTTTACCTTTCATTTTTCCTCCTGTTTTTTTAACATTTTCTGTTAAATTTTCTGTGTGCCAGGCATTATGCTAAGGCTTTCTGTATGCTTGCCAAAGTCCAGTAGGTAGTGGAGCTAGAATCTTGACAGGTAGATTACTTAGTCACTGCCTTTGTTTGACAAAGGAGAAACCTTTGCCAAAAAGGAGAACCTATATGGGCCACAGTGGATCCAGACAGCGTTCCTGCTCTCCTGGAGCCTACAATCTAAAGCTGGCATTAGAAGTAACACAAGTGGTTAAATAAGTTAATAAAACAAGGTAATTATAATTTAATTAACAGCATTTGACTCATACTGTAAAGGGGTAAAGCAGTAAAACTTTTACCAGGATTGGGAGCATCCAGGGAGGGCTTCCTAAACAATGTCCATGCCCTAGGAAAGGTTTTCCAAGAGCCCAACTACTCATTGCATATCAACTTACATCAATTTTTGAAATTCAGAGCGGTCTGTGATTAAAAAAAAAAAAAAAAAAAAAGCTCATATGAAGAGAATTCCTGACTAACATTGAATGAAGTTCTCCAGTTGCCTGTCTCCTTCCCTTCTTTGCTTGCTGTTCTGTGGGCACCCCCTCCACCGCCCCTATACCAGTGATTCTCACTGAAGGCACCAGGCCTCCTTGATGTCTGTCCAGCCAGCTCCATCTAGCCCTTATCCAGTGGGCTCTCTGTCCAGCTTGGTGCTGCCCACCATGCCTTCCTCTGCAAACCTCCCATCCCTTCACCTCCACAGCAGCAATTCTCCTCCTCTCTGTAGGAGGAAAAAACTCACCTCTTTTCGCCAGTGAGTTGGGTTGCAGAGTCATTTGACATGGAAAGTAGGTCCATTCAAGGAGGGAGATGCAGGGTCAGGTCCCTTTTCTGCCAGTCATCAGTGTCCTTGAGCTTTGGTAACCATAGTTTCTGGTCAGTTTCTGGTCAGTCGGGAGATAAATCTTACTGTATAGAGATTTGCTTCTCTGACAGCCTGCCAGGTACCTCTGACCCCTGCACCTTTGAGAAGGGAGGGTGTGGACCCTCCTTGTGCACAGTGTACTGCTCGCACGGCGCTTTGCACGAGTGGAAAGTGGGTCCTGAGCCAGTACTGTCCACCCTCCCCCTCCATGTCTTTCCTCCCTCAGCATGTCCTCGTTCTGCCCTAGGAGTGAGGATGTTTACTTCTCTGTTTTCCCCACTGACTGTAGGAGAAATTGCTTGTCTTTGAGTCAGCATGGAAGAAGGAGAAGGACATAGTTTCCAAGGAGATAGAGAAGCTGCGTGTGTCCATCCAGACCCTGTGCAAGAGTGCGCTCCCCCTGGGGAAGATCATGGACTACATCCAGGAGGACGTGGACGCCATGCAGAACGAGCTGCAGCTGTGGCACAATGAGAATAAGCAGCACGCCGAGGCCCTGCAGAAGGAGCAGAGGTCAGTGGGGGTGGGGGCGGCAGAGGGACGCCTCCCAGGAGACCACCACCCTTCCCACAGGAAGTGTTTCCCTTCTGCGTTCATATCTCAAAGTGCACATCTTTGTAGCAGTTAAGAAAGACTTGGAGTTAACGTTCATGTGCAACTAGATACAGGCAATAAAAAATACAGGGGCCTTTGCAGTATGGGTATTATTTTTATATGTGTTTTCTCAGAATTCCCAAAGTTTGGTAACTGTTTATACTTTGAAAGTATTTTAATTTTTTGCTCTAAAAGAAATTAATGCTGGTGAGCCTATTTTGAAATTGCTACTGTAAAGGAAATACAATAACCACTAAAAACTTTCCCTATTTTAGGGAAACGTTTGATGTTCTGTATTTATAATCAGGGAATCGGGAATGCATGAAACTGTATCAGTTGCTAAGGGTTTGTCAGGAAACGATCTGAGTGGACAAGTGCTAGGTCTGTAAACCACATGGTAAATGCTGTGTGATAGCAAACCTGCATTCTTTATTAGTAGTCTGCTTATTCTTAAAAAAAAGTCCCTTAAAAGTTTAAATGTTCAGCATGAAAGGAATTAGAAAATCACCGAGAACTGTTTGGTGCCGAGTCCAGCATGGTGATTTGTTGGCACTTCCTACAGAGGATTGAAGATACTGAAAAGCCACACTAGGTGCTTGTTCCTCACAGAACATGAGTTTGCTTTGTGGCAGGATGATTGGGAACAATCACTCTTTTTGTTTTTTTGTTTTGTTTTTTATATAGAGTCTTAAAAAAAAATTATTAGAGCTCACAATTGGATGGAAGGGGCAGAGGGAGAGGGAGAAACAGACTCCCCGGCTGAGCAGGGAGCCCCATGCAGGGCTTGATCCCAGGACCCTGAGATCATGACCTGAGCCGAAGGTAGACGCTTCACCAACTGAGCCACCCAGGCCCCCCCCCCCATTCTTTCCGAAGAGTGTTCTAGATTTTTCCTGGCAGGTAACACAGCACTGAAAGGCCTCATGCCTTGAACACATGAGTCAGGAGGCATCCATGGGGAAGCCCTGGAAGCTGGACGAGCTTCTCCCAGAGGAAGGTGGGGCACCTGTTGGGCTGCCCAGAGGCGGCGGCCCTTGGTGGCTGCGCCGTTCCCCTCCCTGCCATCCCAGGGTTCTCTGCAAAATGTGATGTGAGGACTTGAATATTCAGCTCCTCTGTGTAATTGCATGTTGGACTCTGGGCTGTGGGGTGGTGAAATATGTTTTTCACAGGTGTGAGGTCCTCATCCCTTTCCATCATTATCAGAGTATGTTTGTATTTTGACCCTTTGTCTTTGGATGCTGTGAATACCTTACTTTTGTCTTCCTTTGTTATTTTAACGAGGAAGCAAAGCTAAGCCAAGACCAGATACTCACGAGCCCCTGTGTTTCCCATCAGCATCACGGACTGCGCGGTGGAGCCCTTGAAGGCCGAGCTGGCCGAGCTGGAGCAGCTGATTAAGGACCAGCAGGACAAGATCTGCGCCGTGAAGGCCAACGTCCTGAAGAACGAGGAGAAGATTCAGAGGATGGTGTACAGCATCAATCTGAGTTCGAGAAGGTGAAAGCTCAGACGTTTCAAAAGCTGGAAATCTTCCTCAGTCTGACAATAAAAAGGAAGATAGAATGCCAGTACTCTTTTAAGTGCAGTTTCCTAAGAAAATGAAGTTTTCAGCGTCGTCCACCCGATGTGCGGTCTCAAAGCTCCACACTTGAGAGACCGCAGGAATGCCCATGTGTAGAGGGGCCATGCGTCCGCACCTTCCTCCAGTTGGGTATCGCCGTGCAGATGCGTGCTCTGCGTGTGTGCAGCAGCCTGTCCTGCTCAGTCCTGTGCCAGGATCCTCCAGCAGGTGAGTGGTGGTGGCGTGCCAGGGGACCAGCGGCCTTGCTTTCAGGTCTTAGGTCTGGTGACTGGACCCTGCGTGGAGCAGGTAAAGGATGACTGCTCCTGGTGGGCACTTGCAAGTCGAATGGGGCCTGAAAATGAGTCCGCTCCATTTTGAGTTCGCTTCCCCTTGGAGAGGGTTCACTTCAGGCTGTATCTCTATAAAGTACACGTGAGTTTCTTTGGCAGTTTCTCCTCAGCCCCTACGGCCTCTGGCTTCTGTGTCCTGCCTTAAAGTTCATTCATTTAAGGAGATTTTAGTATGTCCTTCGTGGACATTTGCCCTAGGGTGTTCCCCAGGTAAGGAGCAGTGACTCCGGGGGGCTTGCACTCGCCTGCGCCCGCGGCCTTGGCATCCTGCCTGGTCCTCCCCTAGATGTGCGATCCTAAGAGGCGGGTAGCTCGGGGCAGACAGCTGAAGGGAGGCTTTAGGGGAGGCACTGATTTGCAACATTTTTTTTTTTGATGTTCCCATTTTTTTTGGAAATTGTTTTTTAAAGCAAGGGTTTTTTTTTTAGAACATGGTTTATATTTAGTTTTTCACTCACATATGGTGTTGTAAATACTTAGGAAAGTCTTAAGTTTGTATATAAAGGATTCCAGTGTTTGGAGACATACAGGTCTTAAGGTCTGGGTCCCGATACTGTTATTTCTAGATATTTATTGTGCGAACCACGCGGTGCCATTTAAATGTTAGAATTGCCTGAGAAAGTTCTGCTTCTTTAAGGATTAGCACAGATGGCACAGGTTAGGTTTCCCTACTGTGATTTCCAGAACAAATCCTTTTCTCAGGTGGTTTTATGATTTTCCAAGCTGAGTAAGTTCAAGATCAGCTTATGAAGCTCTGCCGTTCTGACATGTTGGCTACTTTGTCATTTCTACCGTGTACCATAAAATTGTTTGATCAGATCGCACTGAATGCATTATTGGAGGTGGGAGGGGTGTCAGTTCACGAGTCCCCCATATACTTGTCTCTTTTCTTCTGAGTTGAACGACTTAGCCACAACCCTCAATTGACCATTTTGCTTCAAGATGTGTCTGCCTTTTATGAATTTGTACATACGAATAGAATTGTTGTGTTGCAAAAAAAAAAAACTGCATACATTTTATGTGAGTAGAATTTTGTATGAAAGTTTATCAAATTGTATCATAAAATTTATTTTTATTTTATACATAAATCATTAAAAACAATCACATATTTTTTCTATAAGTGTATGGATTGTGCGATTCAGTTCACAGCTGGAAAAACATAAGCATTTGGATTTTTTTTATCTTCGAACGCGTATATTTTTGTTTTTCTTGTGAAGAAAGTTCAGGGAAATTGATCTTTTCATTCATATCATGACACTTCTCGCTCTTCTGTATAAATTGAAGTTTTATAAGACAGGTAAGCATTTGTCAGAAATTTCAAGGTCATTCACGAAGTTACAGACCCTCTCCGTGTGTGATTATTATGGTATCGTATCAGAGACGCGTTAAGTGCTGATGTTACTTGTTGCTTTGAGAAAATACACAAAGGGGATTAGTAAGCCCTTTCCTCTACTTTGGCTTGGACATTTCCAGGAGGGCTGAAGTCACACTGCAGGAATTTTAATTTAAAAGTTGAACTGATGTTCATTTACATTCAAAGAAAATGTGTCAACCTTTGGGAAAAACATTCAGGACTAAAATGTGAGCTTTCTGGCCTGATATTCATGCTTATTTTTCTTTTCAATAAGCAACTTAAACAAATACTGATGACAAATCTGTGAAGAGAGATGATGTCAGTTAGTGACCCCGAGTGCAGCTTAGGATGTTGGGTGGTCCGGAGCCCCATCCTACATCCTGACAGGTGCCCCCGGAGCGTGCTTGCACTTCTCTGCTGAGCTGCGCCGAGCTGACTGGGTCTGTCCTCTGTTGGTGCGCCGTGTCCGGGTGCTCGAGCGAACGCAAGGGCACCAGGGCCGAGGCCAGGTGTGAACGAGCAGGGCCACGTTAGGGGCCCCGGGCTCAGGATGGCCAGTTTGCTGGAGCTGCCACGAGAACCGGCTTCCGAGGAGGCCACGCACAACAAGACCAGGTGCTCAGGTGTGCCCACCGCGAGGGAGGACAGTCCACGCACACCTGGACTTCGTGCCCAGCTCCGGAATCTTCCCCCACACCCAGCCAGCACTGTGGGGAGCGGCTTGCCCCGGTCATCGTGCCTCCCGAGGAGCCGACCATAGCCTCCTGGGCGGGCTTCAGCGCGGTCGGCCGTAGCAGAGGGTGGGAGTGAGATGGGCAGCCGCGTGAGGCCCTCCCCTGAGGCGGGAGGGAGGGCCTGCCCTGTCAGGACCCGGGGGAGGGCCCTGCTCTTGGGCTCTGGGTGGAACGGTCCTGTGTGCACTTTATTAATAAAATTATTTATATTTTCCCAAAAGGTGTTCTGATAAGTAGTTTATACCAGGCTTACAGTGGGGCAGACGTGAGGCCCCCAAACAAATCCCTGCTTTGCTTGTCTTGAGTGTTTTCATAAAGGGAGGTTGGGGAGGATTCTTAACTTGGCTAGAGAAAGGAAGTTTAAAAGGTTTTTAAACTGTAACATTTTTTAAGTCCATATGCAGAGCTGAGTTCCAGGTTAATGATCAGCTCCGTCACCCAAGCACGTGGGTCTCTCTGGTGAGAACGTGGGGTTCGAACGGTGAAGTCCATAAATTGCAAGGAGGCTGTGCCCCGTTAGGCAGGGAGGGGTCGGGGCTTTGTAAGCAGGTGCGGTCCCAACACCCGCTGCTCTTCTGCCTGCTTTCAGCTCAGGTCCTGACCCCGGGGTCCTAGGGTCGAGCCCCTTGGGCTCCCTGCTCAGCGGGCAGCCTGCGTCTCCCTCTGCCCCTCACCCCTGCTTGTGCTCCCTCGCTCACTCTCAAAAGTTTTTTTTTAATTTTTTTATTTTTATTTTTTTTAATTTATTTATGATAGTCACAGAGAGAGAGAGAGAGAGAGGGGCAGAGAGAGAAGCAGGCTCCATGCATCGGGAGCCCGATGTGGGATTCGATCCTGGGTCGCCAGGATTGCGCCCTGGGCCAAAGGCAGGCGCCAAACCATTGCGCCACCCAGGGATCCCCTCAAATAAAATATTTTTTTTTAAAAAAGGAAAGTTAAAAAAAAAAGAAAGTTACTCTTTCTGTTATGCATCCCTCCCTCCCGTCCTTGCCCCTATGGGCAGTAGTTTTTATTAGCTTCCCATTTATTTCTCTGTTTCTTTAGGGAAATGCAAGCGTATGTGAGTCCATTTACACTCCGCACAAGACACAGGGTCATGGGAGGCGGCACGCGGTGTGCACTGGTCTGCACCGTGCTCTGTGCTGCCTCCCCCGTGTGGGGGAGCCCTCGCCCTGCCGGTCCCCGGAGATCACCCTCACTGCCTGTCTCCAGGAATATCCTCAGGAGCATGCCCGGCTCACCGGCCCCGCTCCCTGTCACTGCTGGACGTGCGTGGGTGGCTTCCGGGCTCCTGCCGTTCAGGTCAGCGCCGCAGTGACTGCCCCTGGGCCCCCGTGGTGTCCCGGGCCACGCACGTGGGAAGCGAGGCTGTGGGCTCCCTGGGAGGTGAGCGGCGGGTGTGAGGCCGCATGTGCTGCCCTACAGTAGGCGTGCAGGTGCGCCCGTGGGCCCGTGGCCTCTCCAGCCACCACGCCGCGCCGAGGCCCCCGGTGCTCTGATGGGCGAGGAGGAAGGTCTTGGCGAGGCTGCACTTGCAGGTGTTTGCAGCACAGGGGAGCATCTCCGTGTGGTTAAGGGCCATTTCCGCTCCGTGTACTGACTTCAGGTCATTTGTCTTGGCCCTTTTCTTCGGATTTCCAGAAGCTCTTGTGTTTGAGTCTCAACTGTTCTTTGCCAGTTTGTCAGTTCGCCGCCAAGAGCCTCCTCCCGCCGGACGCTTAGTGGTCCCGATGCAGGGGCCGGTGCCTCCGGTGCGCCCAGAGCTGCTCCGGGATGGTTCCATCACGCTCCAACCTGCTCTTCTGGCTCTCAGAGAACTTTCAACAGGAACGGGTGCCGAGTTGTCCTCGTCGCGGCGATGGCATCTTGTGCTCGGCTGGCCTCGCCGATGTGATGTGCTGCGTTACCTAATACTGAAATATTCTTACAGCCATAGGCTCGATCCTGCAGGATGAGGACGGGTTATTTTGACTGGTCGATGGGTTCTGCTACATGATCCTTATTCCTGTTTCCTGTTGCCCGGCGTGTGAGGTCTGGCGGTGAGGGACGGGGCCCCCTGTGCTGTCAGACTAACCGTGGTCTTCTGTGGGTTCCCGTCCTTGGGGCGTCGCCTGCTCCGAGCTCCCCGCAGGCTGACCCGGCCCACCTCCAGTGCCCTGAGAGGGGATGGAGAACACCTGCTGGTAGCCCCCCCACCCCCCCGAGCCCTCCCCCGCCCCAGCCCCAGGTTTGGAACTCAGAACTGGGACCTGACACGTGGGTGGCTTCGCATCCTTGGCTTCGGTACCGTCCGTGTTCCTGGGTCACGCCTCATTTTTCTGAAGCACAAAGTTTCTTATCAACAGTAGCAGGCGGTGGGCGTGGGCTTCAGGGGAATCAGGCAGCGGCTGAGGCCTGAGCCCGGCGGGCGGGCCTGCCTCCCTAGGACGGGCCTCCTGGGGTTGTCGTCTGGGGTTGACAGGGCTGCGTCCTCCACCCTGGGGGAGTAGGAGCCGGGGATGCACACGGCTGGCGGCCCCTGCCCTCCCCTCCGTGGGCAGAGGAGGAGTCTGGGGAGGCCTGAGGGGCGGGCACCCCAGCAGGGTGCCTTCTGCCCCGATGAGCTGCTCCCACCTGGTGACACAGTGGTTTTCCCTCCCTTAAGAAACCCCCCAGGTGACGGCAAGGTCTTGGTGGGGAGGAGGCCCCGGTGCCCAGGGAGGAGTCCTGGGAGGGGATCTAGGGGCCGGGACACCCCGTCCTGAGCCTCTCAGCCTGTTGTTTGTGGGCCCCTCGGGCCCAGGAGGC